TACATAAAAATGGAGATGTAAACGGAAATATAAATTCTAGAGTTAAGGTTAGATTGTTAAAAAAAATGTACCTCAGAAGATTTCAATTATTTTAATTTTATAACAAATATTAACATTTTGTCCATATCTTATTTATATTTATTGGTAAAATGCTTATAAAGGGTACTCATACTTAGCTGATTCCGTTTATTTTTTCTGATAATATAGGTCTACTTAGTGAGACATTTATCATAATAAGTAAATTTTTTTTTTATTGGTGAAAATACTTGGAAGGTAAACAACATAAAGTTAGTGGAACAAAAAGTAAGTATGTGCAATTTTAGTAGGTGTGATATGAACAATTATCTATTAATACTATTAGTAGTAGGTGATCCTTAGGTTTGGTTAATTTACATTGGATTTATTATGCATAAGAATAGAGGTGAAAACCAAGATATAACTTCTAGAGTTATGACTAGATAGTTCAATTGAAAATGTACCTCAAAAGTGTTATGCGATAAGAAAGTATCATAGAGATTTGAGGCAAATTTTATAAAATTGTGGTTGATTGATGTTGTGTCATGCATGGATGGAGTGTTAGGTGATAAAATTGTTATTGATATTTAAGTTGTGTATTAGAAATGAGAAAGTTAAAATGGATTCGTGGCAAAATTAAAAGGGATAAATTAATGAATGAGTGTATTAGAGAAATAGTTGGATTTGCATTTAATAAAGATTAGTTATATTTGAAAAAAAAATTATGTGGTTTGGCATGCATGAAGAAATATTGAAAATGCACCCATTGGCCTTGTAGAAAAGATTATTGTTATAGGATAGGATGGAGGAATAGACTTGAGGTTATATCCTTGAAATTTGTTCAAAATTATTGCAAAGATTTTGTTTTAAATCTCTGGCAACACTTTTCATGAAAGAATAAAAAATGAGGATTGACCAAATAGTTGAGAAAAGACTGACGATGATAAATTAATTATGTTAAAAATATTGTCAAGGACTATTGGTTATTATAATGGATGTCATATTGACATGTCTACTTAATTAATTGATTAGTGAATCCAATTATCTATGGGCAAACCTGCTGTGAGGACATTGGGGGCTCGTGCACCCACCCACTTATCTAGCCCACTAAAACAAGCATAATTATTTTTTCCATAAAATTTTATTCGACCTTTCACAAAGAGCAGCCCCACTCCAGTGGCGATGACGTTTGGCTATAGCAAGTTTTTTATTGCTGTGAACTCGAGTTTCAAGAATAGGTCTGATCATGCCTTCTATGTCAGCCTGGATGACGATATCAAACTGCTCAGCAGTTTGTTTGTTCCTCCCTTTCCCATCTCCAGGAGAAGTTCTACTCAGGATTATTCAGATGATTGGTATAATCAATTCCTTTTTTAGCGTCCTCAATTTTTTTCTCGTCAATCTTATTGTCTAAAGCACAAAATTTTTTCCTTTATGAATTCCTGAACTTGTTATAGTGAGAAAATCCTAAGAAAAGCCTTACTTTATTTGTACTAATAATAGGACTAAATTGTGGACAAAAGAACTAATTGTAGAGAAAGCTTTTTGTTGGCAACAAATTAATTTGTTATCAATGATCCTCTTTTGTACTTTGGATAGTTCTAGAAAAGAAAGATGTTGATATTGCTTATATTCAACTCATTAAATGTTGTTGAGATGAGAATGCTCAAGTGGATGAGTGGCTTTACACTTGGAGACAAAATGAGAAACGAAAATATCTGTGAAAGAATTGGAGTAGCTCCACTAGTAGACAAGATTAGAGAGTTGTTTTAGATGGTTTGATCACATTTAGGGTTGTAAGTTTAGCTCGAAGTTCGTTAATCTCTGCCAAATTGATTCAAAATTTAGCTTGGATCATGATCGGATCGAAATAAACTAGCCGAACCAATTGATAAAATTTTTTTCAAGCCAATTTTGGGTCATACATAGATCAGCTCGAACTGGCTCGAGATCAGCTTGAAGTATTTTTATTTATAAAAATTATTTATAATGCTAAATAAAATCAAATATAACGAGCTAGGAGTTGATTTCGAGCTAGAATAAATCCAAAGAACTCAAGTTGAGCCATCTTGTTTTGATTTTGAGCCGGATCGGATTGATTCGAGTAGCAATATATCCAAATAACTCAAATTTGTGCTAGCTTGTTTCGATTTCGAGCCGGATCGAGATCGATTCAATTTCGGGCCGAGTTGGCTTGAAATTGAATATAACGAACCACGAGCCAATTTCAATCTGAAATTAATATATCTGGTCGGCTCAAAATCGGCTTACTATAGCCCTAATCACACTAAGCATTGACCATCTGATGACCTAGTTTGGAGAGTGGATGTTTTTATTTGACTTATGTTAAGAAAGGTAGTGGTGGACCTAAAAAGGATAGGACAAATCATATAGAAAGTGATATTAATTTATTAGAATTAAATGAAAATATGACACTCAATAGGACACAAAGGAGAAAAAGGATTCTGTAGCCGATCACACTTAGTGGAATAAAGGGTTTGATGTTGTTGTATCAATGATCCTCTCTTCTCTTTTGCTAGAAAATCATGCTGGAAATCTCTGAAGTCATGTCAAACTCTTTCTGATTCACTTCTTTTTAGGATTTCAATAGAAAAATTCTTTATCATAGGTTTTACTATTTTTATCCACAATAGAGATTCTTAATATTTGAAGACATAAAGTAGTTAAACCAAATTCTTGAGTTTTAAAATATATTTTTTTAATTCTTTGAATATATATTTCATTTTGTTGGCATTGTCTATTTTCATCAAATATATATTTTTCCTTAACAAGAATATGAAGATCTGTGCTCATTCGGTTGAAGGTGAAGATGATTAATCAAGTTAAATTCAAGCTAAACTTGGAATAATGCTTGTATTTTGTGTGGATTATAATAATAGCCAATTTTTATACTGTGAAAGCTTAATAGATTAAATGAATACTTTTAACCTATACATTTTTTAGAGTTAACATAAAAAAAACTATAATCTCTTTTAAATAATAAACTTTCTTCTCATTTATTTTGGACAAATCTCTTATTATTTAAAAATAATAATTTCTGAATTCACATATGTTAATACTATTAAGAAAATAAATAATTGATTATCTTATGGTAGAAGATTTTGTTTATATGTAATACTATTTTAACAAATATCAATTATGAAAATTAATTTGGATTTTTTTAATAAACCATAAATTCACTTTTATCTATTAAAGCAATTATTCATTGATAAATAAATAAAAATTGATGTTTTTTTTTAAATTATTAATTTATGCCTCCACCGAAAGAAATTGTGACAAAAAATCATTTCTTAATTGATTATCTAAATCTTTATAAAAATATTATTTTACCATCTATGTTGTAGATTTGAATGTTGAACGACCGTAATGTTATGGATAGTGATACCAGAATTAATAGGAAAAACAATGAAAACACACAAAACAACTTATATTAATAGAGAAATAGGGTTACAGCACAACACAAACTGAAGATAAGATCACCGACACATGAAACAACACAAAAACACCTCGCAAGTGCATCCTACGGGTGGTGGAGGTTGGTTAGGTGGATGGTGGCAGCAAAGGTGGAATGAGAAACTGCAGGAGCAACTAGAAGGCTGGCTATCTAGTGCAAAGAAGACAAGAAATTGCGGTAGAAATGACATGAACAACAGAGGTTTGCTGTCTCGGGGCGTCCATAACAAGGATGCAGTATTCAGCGGTAGGTTTGGTTGCAAAATAGCGGGTTGCTGGGTTGGACAATAGAGTTGAAGGTGCTGGACAACAAGTTGGTCGTCTGGAAAGTGTGCTGGCAGGGTTGGGGAAGGATTAGAAGTGGCTAAGGGACAGGGCAGGGAAGGTTTAGGGGAAGGTAAAAGGGGAGATACAATCGCTATCTTAGAATAGGATACAGCTGGAGTATCACCGCCTCCTCGGATATAGCTCACAAGGGGGAAAAAACTGTTATCTGCATAAGTTTTTTGAAAGAAAGCACATCAAATACTCCCCCTAAACTCAGAAAAGAACAAATAAATAGACTGTTATCTGAAGAAGAAAGGAAAGAAGTAAAGAATGAAACTTCGATAAAAAAGGAAGGTGTGGGGAGGTAATAAATATTCAGAAATTAGCCATTAAAATACTTCCAAATAAGAAGCAGCAGAAAAGGAAGGAGGAGAGGGGTGTGGGAGGCCGCTCGCCTTGTCAGGAGACTCGCCCGGGTCGCTTTGCTCGGGATTCCCCTAGATCGGTCTTTAACAGGCCAATCTGGTTCAGCCGGCTGGCTAGGGTAGCTGGAAGTCCCATCCCGTGTCTGCGTCTAGCGGGAAGTCCCGCGTCAATGGTCAACTTGAGCATTTTCAAAATGTGATTCTTAAGATGGATATGTGGCAAGATTAAACAATATCGATTGATAAATGATTAGATCAATGGTACGTTAGCGAAGGAGTATATATTGAAAATAGAATAGTGGAAAGATAAACTCAAGTGATTAGAATATGGATAATGAAGGGTAAAAGATATACTATTAAGATAAGCAATGGAAATTGATGTCAGATTTATAAAGAAAAAGAGGATGGTCAAAGGTAACTACCATAACAAATTGTCAATTTGACCTTCCCCTCTTATTTCCAAGGCCTTCATGTCAACTTGCTATCTCATGCCTCAACACAGTCTGGCATGAGTTGATTATTTTGGGATTGTCCTAGGATCTTCCTCTTACGAGTGATCAGCTGATAGTAATTTATTTAACATCTGTTAAAGATAAGTATTAAAAATCTTGTTGGATTAGAATAATTGAATGCGATATCTTATAGCTATGAAAGATTCGTGAAAGTTTTACCCTTATTCTTGTGCCCACTTGCATATTGATATTTTCAAGAAAACAGTATTTGTGATTATGTCGATTTTTTTTTCGTTTTGTTTTGTTTAATGTAAAATATTAATAGAATTTTATGCTCCTTTAAGTGAGTGATAATCTTTCCATGCAGGCATTTTATAAAGTGTTCCATAGCTGGGCTTCAAAAAAGTTCATGACAGGATGGTAAGCCTTTTTTTCTTTTTCTTTCATTTTGATCTTTTCACTCTAAACTTATTGCTAAGCGAGCATTGCCATCATATGAACTTTAGTGACTTATTTTTCATGTTATTCATGGTTTTCTAAAGCTGTTGTATTGACGGAGTAAATTAATGTCTAGCAAACTACCATCAAGATAGTTTGAAATCTTTTTCGGTATCCTTACTCTTAAGGAAGATACTCTTCCATTTCATGATGTGGTCTCTCCTTATCCCTTTTTCCCTGTATGCTTTCAAAGATTATTGTTGCAAATCTCACATGAATAAACACACAGGCAACATATTAAGGATGACAAACAGACTAGTTTGCTTATTATGATTTATTTATTAATTCTCATTCTTTGAAGAGAATTGGTTCCACAAGCAAGGAGTGAGTATTTGCTGCTGTAACCCTGACAGAATGGACAACAATTGAGCATATTCCATTTTTGCATTAGGTGATTTCAGGTTTCATATAAGATAACTGTATTTGGTTGGTCCAACATTTGAGCTTATTCCATTTCCTTTTTTTTTTGGTTCTATAATTCTGTGTTTTGTTGAGATCTTTCCTTCAGATTAATGTGCCATAGCATTGAAAGGTGATGTCAAGAGTTGCCCAATAAGATAATATAAAATAAATATGTGGAACTTGTCCCGGAAATTCAAGTTGAGCTGGATGATACGTAAAAGCAAATGGTGTTTGTTTAATAATTTTTTCTGTAGTTGTAAAGTCTCAAATAATTATGATATATTGTAGAATCCTGTTGTTGCTGACTTTATTGTCGAGAATTAAATGTTCATATATGAGGAAGCTTCAATTCAGAACCTTTTTTCTCTCTTTCTGTGCCTGATTTTTTGCATGAGTTAAAGTGTCATGTTTGCTTTTAATGATGTTCAATTAAGTGCCACAGTAAGGACAAACATCTTTTATAATTGACCTTAAACTTTGGTCTGGTATAGTTAGTGGGTGATTAGTCCCCAGTCATGTTGGGCAATTGCGTCATATTCGTTTTCAAAAGTTCTGAGATATCAAAAGAAATGGTTTTCTGTAAGAAAATATATGAAGCTGCTGTTGTAACTTGCTTATGTTGACCAATTATTGCAAGCCAAAATGAAATGAAAGCTTAGGCTTGATATTTAAGTTCACAGATAAAGCTTTTATTTTACTTCGTTGTATGTTTTCCTGCCTGCTCTTTCTAATATTAGGTCACGTGATTTTGAGAACCACATTTAATCCTGCCTCTTAGTTATCTTGCTTAATAAAATCTCCAAGTTTCCTGGGGTCAGGAATATATTTGATCCAAATTTATGCTTTCCTGGCTTGAGGGTTTGAATCATTGGCGGACAGTTGGACCGCCATGCTGGACTGATCATGTTTTTAAAATTTGGTAAAGATTTTGCATGTCATGCATATGATAAAATAATTGTCATAACTTATGTAGTTCTGATATTCTATAATCTGGCATAACAACAAGCATTCGAATAGGGTGAGCTAAATTACTGTTGTTGGAAATTAGTGAAGTATAATAATTCATACCATATTTACTTACGAGGATATGAATAGGCATCATAATCCAAATCATTGGTTTCTAGTTTGAAAATTGTCTTCGTTTCTTAGTTAAGCGGGAAAATGATAGATCGTGCAAATGTTAATAGTGGTAAATTGAAACTACTCAAGGCTGTTTGTTGTCCAGGAGGCTTTGAACTGTAAAAAAATTCAGAGATGAAGATTAGGACGTTTGCTTGGCATGATAAAATCCATTAAGGAGCAATAATGTAAATCCATCACCTTTCTTGTCCCTCCAAGATAAATCCATGAAGGAGCTCAATGTAAAAAATCTGTTAGTTTGGATTATTCAGGAATAGAGGATGAGGAGTTTAAATTACATATATGAAAATAATGAGGGAATTAATACTTGTAATAAGCCACATTCTGAACCATTGGTCCTCCTCCTTCCTAGTCGTAAAAAGAGTATCTATACGAGTTACCTTAGTTAGAGTTTGATTTATTTTTAAATTTAAATATTGTCATATCTGTTTCATCTATATGCTAGCATGTATTAAAGATTTATATTATTGTGAATGAAATCTGCGCAAAGTTCTCTTTTCACCTTACTGGTTCTCCTCTTTCTTAAGTGGCTGACTACATCACTTTCTATTCTAGCTCTTTCTAGCTTTCTCTCTTCTATCTAAGATCGGGAGGAGCAAGGGTGATAAATTCTTGAATGCCAAAGTAATAGGAACGATTAGTGGAAAGAAAGACTAGATGACAAGGAGAAGAAGAGGGGGAGTAAGACTTGCGGGCGGGTGGGGGGTTGAAGAATGCAAAAAGAAGCAATTGAGGATTAATAGCGGAAAAGAATTAAATGTTAGTAACAATAAGATCTATTTTATTTGCATTTTGCTACTTTCAATTTCATTATCCTTAGCGTATTCCCCTCTCTTATACACCACTTATTTCCTAAAAATTATCAAACATTTTCGACCAAGAAGAGATATATTTTATTTGTTGCTTGAATTTACACTCAATTGAAAGAAATCAGAGTATGGCAAATACGATTAAATGCAATCTCATTTTCAACCGATGATGATAAACATAGAAGAAGAATGAATTAAGAAATGAAAAATGAAGTATGAGTGAATGATGAAAATTGTGGAATGAAAGCAGGCAAGTGTCCGCCCAAAGAAAAATGCCATCAATTACTTCCACTCAGAATTCTCATATTTATGAAGGAAAGAAATAACAAGCTACTAAAAACTGCTAACAAACAAATAAAAAATTATTAATAAATTGTTAACAAATGGCTTATACTAAAATAATTTAATAAAATAAGAATATATTATGATATAAATAACTCAGACATCCTTTATAACATAAATTTAATAAATTTATGTCCACATCAAATTGGAAGGGTTGGAGAAGAATGATTTGGAATAATAATTTCAAATGTAGGAAATAAAGCATAACTATTATGATTGACTCAATTTTCTTTGTGATATATTATAGTACTTTTAAGCAAAGTTTTAAACTCACCCTAAATCAATCCGTTTCAATTTCACTTCTTTAGTTTCTTCTAGTATCAAAAATAAATCAGGTACTTGGCTAATTTAAACATCTTTGCTCAAGTCATCTGTGGTCCTAATCGTGTTTGATGGAAATTGATACATCCAGCCCAATAATGGTGAATTGTGCCTCATACACAACCATCCCACTTATGCAAAAAAACTATTTAAAAGTGAATGAATCCTATAACGGACTCTAAGCTAGTTTGGGATTTTTTTTTCTTTTGCTTTTGTTTTTAATTTTTTTTTAAAACATGTTTGTTCGGTACTTTATTTTTTGAAACAAATTAGCTTGTTTTTAAAAACACTCAAAACATCTAAAGTTGTTTTGAGAGTTTTAATAACAACTAAACAAGTTATGCCATATCAAAAAAAGGTTTTGTTTTAAACAAACCAAAGCAAAAACAAAATACAAAAAATAAAAGTGATACCTATCAACCCCTATGTAACCTATGAAAAATGCTAAAGATTGTCAAAGCTTAAATTTTCTTTTTTATGTTTCGAGAGTTTTAATAACGACTAAACAAGCTATGCCATATCAAATAATGTTTTGTTTTAAATCAAAACATAAACAAAATAAAGCGAAAATAAAATACAAAAAAATGAAAGTGATCCCAATCGACCCCTATGAAACCTATGAAAAATGCTAAAGATTGCCAAAGCTTATAAATTTTTTATGTTTTGATTTGAAATAAATCATTTTTATCTATTCGATTAAAAAATGATTCTTTTTAAAAATACTTAAAAAAACTTAAAAGTTATTTTGAATGTTTGAGATTTAATTGGTATTCTCAAAGTCAAGCTGATCATACTTTATTTGTAATACACACTTAGGGAGGTAAGATTGTTACACTGATAGTATATATAATTGATAGGATTTTTACTAGTGATGATGAAAGAGAGATTCTCAACATCAAAGTTGTTGCTACGGAGTTTGAAATCGTTGACCTCGGAACTGTGAAATATTTTCTTAGTATAGAGGTAACAAGTTTTGTGAATGCATTATTATATTATAGAGAAATACATACTAAAGCTACTTAAAGAGATATAGATGACTTTATGTAAGTCTGCTGACGCTTTAGTGGATCCCAACTAGAAGTTAAAAATGGGAGAAGAAAGTGCCATATGTACAAGGCAAGATATTAAAAATTGGTAGAAAAGTCCGTTAAGCTATCACATATAAGACTCGATATTGCATATTCTAGCAAGATTGTGAGCCAACATATGAATAACCCAAATGAAGAGCATTTGTGGATGATGTACAAAATCCTGAGGTTTCTTAAGAAGACTCTTGATTATGGATTAATTTTTGAGAAAATTAAGAACGAAGAGGTGGAAGTTTATACTGATGCTAGTTGGTATAGGAAACTCACTGACAGAAGGTCTACCACAAACTACTGATTCTATGTTTGGGAAAATTTGATGACTTGGAGAAGTAAGAAGCAATTTGTTATTTCTAGAAGCAGTGTAAAATCAGAGTATATGACACTCTCCTTGAGAATCTTTGAAGGGATATGGATTCAAAAGTTATTAAAAGTACTGGGATGGACCCCCAACTGGCCTACACATATATTTTGCGATAGTCAAAGAATTATAAATATTGCCAAGAATTCTGTGCATCATAACAGGACCAAGCATATTGAAGTTGATAGAAACTTCATGTTTGAAAAGGTTAATGAGAGAATTATACAACTAATCTACATACCTAAACACCAACAAGTTGTTGATGGCTTCACCAAAGCTCTTCCTTTAAGAACCTTCTCAGAGTTCAATGCGAAGCTCAGTCTTTGCAACATCTACGACCCAACTTTAGGGGGAGTGGAAATTTGAGAAGATCCTTGTAGGATTTGATTGAGATAACTTAAGAATCTCTTGTTTAGTTTATTTTCTTCCTATTTTATGTTATTTTTTTTTTATTTCAGAATATTTCCCTTCCTAATTTTGGTTAGATATATTTGATAAGTTTGTAAATTAGGAGGGATTATTTTCCCAATATATATGTACCCTACATGTTATTCCTCTTGAAATCTATTCTAGAGATTTTGACTTATTATATAAGGCAACAAACTTCTTACGATATTTCAAAAAGAAAATAAAGCTAGATTTTCTACTTTAATTAATATCTCTGTGAATATTATTTACCTCCATTGTTGTCGATTATTTTAATCAAAGAAGATATGATGTTATTTAACATTCCATATGGAATTTTTAGCTTTTTTATGTATACTTGCTAACATTTTTCTTGAAATTCAATTTGGCAGCGTGATCTTATTTCCAATAGCTGTGACTTTCTTTATCACCTGGTGGTTTATTCATTTTGTGGATGGATTCTTCTCTCCTATATATGCTCAACTTGGTATCAACATTTTTGGTAAGAATATCATTCTCTAAATGATTTGTTGGTCTAAAATATTATTATTTTATCTGATATTTTCTGGTACAAAATGTTTGGATTTAGTGGTTTCGGTCGAGTCTTTGAAAGCCAATATCATTATCCAGATTAATACATTATTTAAACCATGTAAAAGCTGTTAGGATATAATTTTTTAAGGTGCAGTGTGCTGCTTAGAGCCCTGTGCTTCCAGATTCTGTGATGTTTAGTGTTTGGGCCCTCTCTATTGGTGACTAGGGAAGTACTCGTTGGATGTAGCTTGGCTGGCTTGCCACCCATTTTCTTCTCTTCAATTGCATATACTTGTTCGTATTAAACTGATATCCTTACTTTGTTAGTGCAAATTAACTAATCAATAAGTAAAACCTGTATGTTCGTAGTGGTTACCCATCTGAATCAACCTATGTTTTTTCTCTCCTATTCTCTATACAATTTAAGAATTTTCCTTTTGATTATGGTGCTTTTGTAGATTTTCGTGGATTTTGTTCTTCTAATACTTCAGGCATACGTATTTTTCTTATGTATATACATGTTTTCACCTTTTTTGATCCAGTTCACAATTTAAACTGTAGTATTTTCATTGTAGGACTTGGTTTCGTAACTTCCATAGCATTCATCTTTTTGGTTGGAGTATTCATGTCATCATGGTTGGGAGCATCTGTCCTAGGTCTTGGGGAGTGGTTTATCAAGAGGATGCCATTTGTTCGTCACATTTATAATGCATCCAAGCAAATTAGTGCCGCAATATCTCCTGGTAATTTTAGTTCAGATACGAAAAACTTAAAAATTTTTTTGCATGCCTTTTTCTAACTCTACAGCTACAGATCAGAACACACAAGCCTTCAAGGAAGTGGTCATATTGAGACACCCAAGGGTTGGTGAATATGCTTTTGGGTTCATCACTTCCACGGTTACCCTTCAGGTATGTAAGCTGAATTTTTATGTGCTACCTTGTAATCTTTGTGCTTTTGTTGTTCAGAGAAATTAATGCACTGCAATCTTTGTGCTTTTGTTGTATCCATGTACTTAATAAGTTGCATCTTTGTTCTGCCTACGATTCCTTTGAAGTTGAAATTTGTATTGTGCTATTCATGTTGTTGACATATGGGAAGAGTGCATCTGTCCATATCAAAAAAATGTTTCTCCATATCAAGTAGCCAACAGTAACAAAACCAGCCGATTTTCAAGATCACAACTCTCCATCGCAAAAAAATTATCTCAATCTCATGCAGCCAACAGTAACAGAGCCGGCCAATGCTTAGCTGTTCAAATAAATATATTATTCTATGACACATCAACATTTCAGTACAGATAGACGTGCAATATTCGATAAGTATCTGACATGGATACGCATGTGACATGTTCAACACTTGTCAGAGATGTCTGTCTCATGTCCAATTTTAAAAAAAAATTAAAAAAAATCAGACATGCTTTTCCTTAAAACTTAAATTTAATAAATAGTCGTAAAATGTGTAACAAAGTGTTAGATTTTAATGATCTACGTTGTAGCAAATAACTTATATTTATGTTGTATATGTAATATTCTAAAAATTTATTGATGATCATACTTCTTATGTTTTCGTTACTTTTTGATTATTTATTTTGTTTTATTGTATTTGATATTCTTCATAATTTGTTATTTTTACTTTGCTATCTTGATTTTGAATAATATGACATTCTTAATTATCATTAATTTTTCATCCTTATATTTTATTTTATTTATTTAATATTGTCATTTTCGAGTCCCAAGTCCCGGATGTAAAAAGTGGAGGATTGTGTTAGCTAGTCGACAGCTAACATAAAATTTGTCGAAAAATCATGAGATGAATCCTTTTGATCATTGTGTAAATGCTAGGGTGTTTCCTGGAATCAATGTGTGGTGTGACCTAAATATGGTAAAAAGTGTGCAAGGGCCGCTAAACCGGCGCTCTGGTGTAGTATCAAATAAGCAAAGATTATCATATTACAGACGGATGCATGTAAAGAAGTTAGTGCATAAAACTAATATTAGGATAAAACCTTGGAATATAGGTACTCTCATAGGTAAAATAATGAAATTAGTTGATATTATGATTTATAGAAAGATAAATATATTATGTATTCAAGAAACTAAATGAATTGGAGAAATAGAGTAATTAGATTGATAACTTATATTTTAAACTTTGGTATTTAAGTAAGAGTTGCACTAGAAATGTTGTAGGTGTAATTATAAATTAGAGTTTGAAAGATAATGTTGTAAAATTTAGTAGAATTAGAGATAGAATTATAATCCTTAAGATTATTGTTGATACTAAGATTTTTAATATTGTAAATGTTTATGCTGTTGGGTAATGTGGAGACTTTTAGGACGCTCAAGACAAGTCATCTCTGATACCAGTTGTTGTAAAAAACGAGGATAATAAAACGAAAAATAGAATGAGAAAAAAAATTGCACGCAGAAAAAAAAACACCAGAGCGACACACATATTTACATGGTTCGGCAAATTTGTCTACGTTCATGGAGCTGCAGAGGATTTATTTCTTCGAGGAATTACACCGTCGAACTACTCGACGTTTACAAGAAAATCTCTATTTTCTTCTCTCACATCCTCTCTCTCTCTCTTCCTCTCTTTCTCTTAGCTCTCAAGATGACTTAACTTGGTCTTGTTTGGCTTGACTTTCCTTTAAACCAAAAGAAACTATTAAGAATCTATTTATAGAAACCATGAGAGTGATAGGTGGGAGGTAGGTGAGCGATATGTGAGATGTGGTAGGTGGCGGTAGGTGAGTGTGGTAGGTGAGCGGTAGGTGAGATACTTAATTAAGAAGCTAATTAAATTCGGTGTACCGGGTTTACACATTACTCGACAGTTCATTTAGTAAATACTTTTGAGTAAAAAATTTAAACTTAATTTTGTTTACTGTAAGTAAACATCTATTTAATATACTAGTTAATAAAAAATATCCTTAAAGTTTTAAAAAAATTTAATCGATTAAAATTGAAATAATTTGAGCAAAGTCCGGTAAGTGGCACCCTTTGCCCGTGATAATTACAGTAAAATTTGATTAAGCAGCTTCGCAGTTTCATTTTCAAAATATATATTCAACATTTGATACCTGATCTGAATGTGCTTGGTCCTGGATTGAAATGCTGGATTTCTAGCTAAGAATATGGCGCTCTGGCTATCACTGTAGAGAGTGCCCTTCTGAGCCTCCTTACTCAATTCCGCCAAGAAACTCTGCAGCCATATCATCTCCTTAACGGCTTCTGATACTGCAACATACTCAGCTTCTGTAGTGGATAAAGAAACTGTCTTCTGTAGATTTGAGCCCCATGACACTGCAGTGCCACCAAGAGTATAAACATAACCTGTTGTACTCTTCATACTGTCAATGTCTCCAGCTAAATCTGCATCAACATAGCTCTGTACCTCTAGCTCTTTCCTGATAAACACAAACAGGTTTCTGAAGAACCTTTTAAGTATTTCAAAATCCACATCACAGCTTCCTAATGCTTCTTCCCTGGATTACTCATGTATCTGCTCACAACTCCCACTGCATGGGAAATATCCGGTCTGGTACAGACCATAGCATACATAAGTGAACCAATAAGCGTAAGGAATCTTACTTATGTAGTCTTGTTCCTCCTTTGACTTGGGTGACTGATTTTTGCTGAGTCTGAAGTGACTGCCTAAATGTGTGTGAACTGGCTTAGCCTTGTCCATATTGAACCTGCTAAACACCTTTTTCACATATTAAGCCTGTGAAAGTCTCAGCGTGCCTTTGACTCAATCTCTAACAATCCTCATGTCAAGGATTTGTTTTGCCACTCCTAAATTCTTCATTGCAAAGTGCTCTGACATCTGTTTCTTCAGTTTACTGATTTCATCAATGCTGGCTCCTGCAATAAGCATATCATCCACATACAACAACAGGATGATATAGGAATGGTCAAAGTACCTGACATAGCAACAGTGATCTGTCTGACATCTCTTGAACCTTGTATTGAGCATGAATTTATCAAACTTCTTGTACCACTGTATGAGAGCTTGCTTCAGGTCATATAAGCTCTTCTTTAGGCTGCAAACTGAATCTTCTTTTCTTTGTACCACGAACCCCTCAGGCTGGTGCATGCGGGGAAGCAGCTGCGGGGAAGCTGACTGCCTGTTTGGTGCAGCTGTGTGAAAACAGCTGTGGGACAACTGTTTATGGAGAAATGACCATGCTGCCCCTGTTTATTAAAACTGTTTAAAAGAATGTTGTAACAGCTATATTTTTGAAACTTCTGAAGCAGAAATTCATTTATAAACAGAACAGAAAATTCATATACATACAATCGTAGTTTCTTAACACATATTATGCGGATTGGTCCTTTGAAGAAAGCATCCATCCAATGCATTTGCAGAATTGTGTTTCTATGGTTCATTTACATACATACCACACAATTCTTATGAACTTGGCATACATACCACAAAATTCATTTGCAGGACTGTGTTTCTATCAGAATATATATACCTTGTTGCAATTATCTTATGATCATCTACCAGAAGACAGGATTTATGATCAAGCTAGGAAACAAAGGTGAGAGATATATCAATTCCAAAGAAACCATTCACTATGTTCTCCACATAGGAAAGTAATAATAATAATTGATGAAAAGTAATAATAATTCAAGGAAGCTACTATAACAGCAGCTCCCCATTTATAACATCCAAAAAAGAGGGGCATTTACAATAATTGCTTTTTATTACATCTTAAATTATGAATATTAACAAAAATGTGATTCCAAATGGCCCAAAAAAATAATGCAAAACAGGTTGCTGGAGCAATAGGTAATCATCATATTTCATCATTGTTAATAGAGAAATGGACCCAAGTTAGCCAAAACATCCAAGCCTTGAGTATGTAGAGAAGCTTTCCACTTATCACCATGCATACAATCCCTGTGATAATGGACGCAATGGTTGCCTAAGAATCTCTTTGCCATCCAAAGATGCCACAATGTCACCAAAAAAGCATACAAATCCTCGTATTGGTCAGGTGCAATTTGTTATGGACGCAATGGTTGCCAAATCATAGTTAAGTTTTAATATTTGAGCGAGAATTTGAAAATTGGATGAAAAAGGGTGTTGGGTGCTAGGTGCTGTTTGCTGGGTGTTGGATGCTGGGTTTGTAAATAGTAATGTTTCAAGTGCTATGTATATAAGTGCCCCAAAAATTGAAGCAACTTTCTAAATGTCCTCTCACATCAAGTTTAAATAAAAGCTTTCATGTTGATTATTACATGAGGTTTTAAATCTAATCCAAGTAACCTTTCGGTACAATGTCTATGTGAATTACCTTTGCTCTGCCCATTTTCTATTTTCATCCTCAGAGAAAAATTTCATCTACGTAATTTATAAGTGCATTTTCTACCGTTATCATACATGTCTAAGCCACTTATGTTTCAAGTGTCATATAAAATAATAATTGTATGTAATTCTCCTCATTTCTAGCATTAAACCTCTACACACGCCTTTCTACTGAAAGTATCTAAGAGTTGTAATTCCAATTACTTGCACCGCTCATTCTTCTATGTCCATATGATCCTAATGCAAATACATTAACGGTTTAAAGTATAAAAAATTTGATGATAGTCTATCAAATAATCTTAGAAAGTTATATACATTGCAATACTTATAACTGGTCCAAATAAACATGTTCATATGTTGTAAAGGCTTATGTAGGTTCCTTCAGTGTGCCTCTGTTTCAACATTAATGTGCCAACGAATGAATGAAGCAACTATTTTAATGATTTCATACAGAAAATAGCAACAAAATAATATAACCAAAGTTTCATATATAAAAATCACATAAATAATTGCATTCCTTCTCACTTCAAGTTCTCAGTTACCTCAATTTCTCAGTATTCCACTTTGCATTGAACAGCCGCTCTCTATCTCA